AAGTTTTCTGGCATAGATGTCATCATCCTTATCTGAAACAGAAGTAGCGCATTTCAAGACATCACACTGTATTCTGGGATACTTGGCCGTTGCATTTTAACTCTTACTCAGAAGTCACTGAAGCTGATCATATGACTGCTGTTGATTTTAGGAGGCCTTGGGAGAAGTGTCATCTCAGAAAGATTAATGATTGTACCAGGATTTTTGTAGCAGTGTTTTGTATTTTTTTTCTTGCCATCTATGACATCCCTTGCTTTTTTAACAGGGCCATTCATTAGAAAAACAAGCCAGCTGGCATCCTGAGACATGCTGAATTGTGTGCAGACTACTAATGACCATTAGTTCTTTTGCCTAAGTTCACAGGGAAGATCTAGGAAGTGAATATGTGTCTCTGACAGTGTTACTTCAAGCTGACTTTGCTATTACAAGAGCCATACCCTTCCCTACGTGTAACCTATACACCTGATACCTTGACTTTGCAATCGTGTCTGTCACAGTGTAAATGGGAGGGCAGGTCTTCCCCAGCGGCATGCAGAACTAGTGAGCACAGCTGTGTGATGTGCTTCCCTGAAACATTTTGCTCCATTAGAGCTGCCAATTTGAAATTGTTGTTTTTGTCCCTGTTAATTGAAGCCACCACAGAAATGTCACTGCGGCACAAATTTTAGTGTCAAGGATTGCACAGTGGCAGAAAAACAGCAGCTAGTGAGAGAGAAGCCACAAAACAGGGCAGTGCATTGTCCAAGGCTCTCGTCATGTGGAGGAAAATTTTACGGGTATCTGGACATCATTTTCTTGCTGTTACGGGTTTCTTATGCAGATAGATATTTTATGAACCTGAGCAGATTTGGAGTAAATAAATGTCAGGGCAAAAGCAAAATACCACTGTCCTCTTCTTGATGTAATGCATACCAGTGCTTGATTATTGCCCTTTCAGTGCTTTATTTACAACGCTAAAATGACACAGCAAAAAGCCTACTTTTCCAAGTGAAGGGGACAGAAAGGGACATGGCAGAGCTTATAGAAACAGCATCCTGGTAATTATCAGTAGGACTGCCAATATCCCACTTCTGGTGCCATGAAAGAAAAGTCCCTTGATTTGTAGTGCTTGGCTGTACTCCTTCATTAGAAGAAATCATGGAGTTACGTTGGCTGAGCCTAGAGTTCTCAACAAGCCTTAAAAGGGACCTATTCAGCACAGTTTTATATATCCAGGTTCATGTAGAACAAGTAACCTAGCAGAGCTGAGAAGACAGCACACGTGTCAGCACTCCGTGGAAAATGGGCTGGTAAAAGGTCATAGTTAATGTCAGCGCTGCTGTCAGCTGGGAAAGGCACCAACATGAAGTCCACATCTGTTTTTTTTTTCATAATCTATACCATATCTTGCATACACAGATGTTCTGAAACTTGTTTACATGGGGACTCCTCCAGACAAGCACGGGCACTCACTCAGAATGAAGCTAAACTGAAATAAGGCTCCTCAGATTCAAGAGCAAGGCAGTAAAGGCAATAGCAACAGAAGGGAGAATTTTCCTTTATCTGGATTTGGGGAAAAGCTCAGCACAGATAAAATGTTACAGGCCAGATATCTCAGTGATGCAAATCACTCTGCTGAGGCCAACTGTGCAATAGCTGATTGCACAAAAATACAACATGCATCCAAAGAGACGGACCTGTCATCAGCCTGGAGCTGCGGGTACTGGACATCCTCTCTGTATTCTGTTCATGTTGCTTTGCTCTGATGTCCTTATTTCCAGTTAGTGTGAAAATTCACACCATTTAGAGCGTATTCTCATCCTTTGAGCCTCTTTCCCCCACCTCAAGACTAAACGCCAAGTATTTGTACTAAAACAGCATAAATTAGCAGTTTCCAATAACCATTGGACTAATAACCAAATTCTGATGTTCAGCTGATGCTCAGTAGGGCATAATCTGGACGTTCATAGATAGTTAGTAATGCAGAGTAGTAATTACTACTGG